CCTGCTGCAAGTGCTATTTGCAGGAGTGCCAGTAGGGGAACTGATGGACTCGGTAGAACTGCTGGGAAAATTGTGTGTGAACAAGGGATGAACATAGTGCTTGTGGCTGCTGAAGTTACTCCATGGAGCAAAACTGGTGGGCTGGGTGATGTTCTTGGAGGATTGCCTCCAGCATTGGCTGTAAGTGATGTTTCTCGCCTTATTTTCAGATGCAATTTCGTCATAATTTTCTGCTACAGCCTGATTTTTGCTTTGTAGGCTAGAGGACATCGTGTCATGACGATAGCTCCTCGCTATGACCAGTACAAAGATTCTTGGGACACTGATGTAACAGCCGAGGTAAATAAGTTCATCTATGAAAAATGATCATCTATTGTGGGGAGGAGCGAAGGAACAATTTCGTAACATTTTCATGAACATGACCAGGTAAAAGTTGGGGATCAAATTTTTACTATACGGTTTTTCCATTGCTACAAACGAGGAGTTGATCGAGTATTTGTTGATCACCCAATATTTCTGCAAAAGGTAATGCGAATTCCATAACCAAAGTGTGTATACATTGTTCTTCTGCGAGATCCTTCTTCTGATGCTTTACATTGTGGATCTCAACAGGTTTGGGGCAAAACTAAGTCTAAACTATATGGGCCTAATGCGGGAGTGGATTATGAGGACAATCAGTTGCGGTTTAGCCTGTTGTGCCAGGTGACTAATCTTGTTATGTCTCAATATGATTGTTCTTGTTCATGATGTGCTATTCATTGGCATCAAATCAATATGGATACAGTCAATGGAACTCTGTAATCTAGTTAGTTCGTTTTCATTGAGTGCCATTTTGTTACATCGAAACGTTTTCTTTTGTAAATGTCATTTACCCGTCATCCAGAAATGCCAAATGACATTTATAAGTAGTTTATGAACAAAAATACCCAATTTGCTTGTATTTCACTTACTTCGATTGAGCAATGTTGAGGATTATTGGGAAAGGAGTTCCACATCGGCTAATTAAGGGGTTGATCATGAGTTTAAAGGTAAGAAATACAACTCCATTGGTATGAGGCCTTTTGGGAAAACCAAAAGCAAAACCATGAGAGCTTATTGTCCGCTAAAGTGGACAGTATCATGCCATTGTGGAGATTCGTAGTTTCTAACAATCAATTGATTAATATCCTCCTGATGGCATGGTTTCTAGTGTTTCGACATCTATTTTTCGTTTGACCATCACATGTCTGTGCTCATCAGGCTGCTCTGTTGGCGCCTTTGGTTCTAAATTTGAACAGCAGCAAGTTCTTTTCAGGACCATATGGTATGCATTGGCTTTGTTTCCCCCAGTAGTCTCAAATTGATAGTTACTAGTTAATGGCTAACGCACAGAGAAAATGTGGTTTGATGCTCATTGCAGGGGAGGATGTTGTATTCGTTGCCAATGATTGGCACACAGCTCTTCTTCCATGCTACTTGAAAACCATGTATCAAGCAAAGGGTATTTATAAAAGTGCCAAGGTTGGTTTTGTGCCGAATGGTTCTGTTTAATTCAGTAGACATGAGCTGATATTGTACTCTTAAATGCTAACAGGTTGCTTTCTGCATTCACAATATTGCTTATCAAGGCAGATTTGCTTTCTCAGACTTTTCCCTTCTGAATCTGCCTGATCAATTCAAGAGTTCCTTTGACTTTACTGATGGGTTAGTGCCTCAGTTACTTGTCCATTTGTTCTGCATCCCAGAGGATATTATTTTCCCATGTGTTCTTAGAAATCTTGGTTTCTAGGTATGAAAAGCCTGTGAAGGGAAGAAAAATCAACTGGATGAAGGCTGGAATATTGGAATCTGACAGTGTGTTCACTGTTAGTCCATATTATGCCCAGGAACTTGTTTCGGGAATTGATCGGGGCGTTGAATTGCATACCATTCTTCGTTTGACGACCGTTACGGGTATATTGAATGGCATGGATGTTCAGGAGTGGAACCCTACAACTGACAAGTACATTCCCATCAAGTTCAATGCTGAAACCGTAAGCTAACTGACAGAGTTCATATTTTTCGTTCTCAATTGATTGAAGAAATTTCTTAGCTAGATCTTCGTTTTCAGGTTGAGGAAGGAAAAGCTCTTCTGAAAGAAGCTCTTCAGGCGGAAGTTGGATTGCCTGTTGACAGGAACATCCCTTTGGTCGGATTTATTGGTAGACTCGAAGAGCAAAAGGGATCTGATATCCTATCAGCAGCTATTCCAATGTTCATCAATGAAGATGTTCAATTGGTGGTTCTAGTGAGTATATGTTAGCTTATTTCTTTTTCCAAAACGACTGTCGTAGTTGGTTGAAAGTTGATATCCATTTTCTTTCTGCTAGGGAACTGGCAAGAAGTACTTAGAGCGACAACTTGAAGAGCTAGAGATAAAATATCCTGACAAAGCTAGAGGGGTGGCAAAGTTCAACGTTCCTTTAGCACATCTCATAAATGCTGCTGCTGATTTCTTGATGATTCCAAGTCGATTCGAACCCTGTGGCCTCATCCAGTTGCAAGCTATGCCTTACGGAACTGTAAGTCGCCACTTTCTTATAGCTAGTAGCTCAACTGGTTAAGGCATACACCCTATCACTTCATATATTTCAATTTCAGATTCCCTTGGTAAGCACAACTGGTGGACTCGCCGACACTGTTATCGACGGTTACACAGGTCTTCAAATGGGCACGTTCAGCGTTGAAGTAAGTACGGATAGTTTCAAATCCGCTTCATATAATTGCTTGGGTTCCTTTTGTGATTAGAGTTGGGTGGTTGTGTTTGCCAGTGTGAAACGGTTGCTCCAGCTGATGCAGCAGCAATTGCTAAAACTGTTGTAAGAGCTCTATCACTCTTCGGCACCGCCGCTCACAAAGAAATGATACAGAACTGTATGGCTCAAGATTTCTCATGGAAGGTAAGTACCCTTTCTCATCATACTGACTGCGCCATAGCCTCTTATTTGGCGATTCAACTGAAACGAAACGATGTCGATTCATATGCAGGGTCCAGCTAAACTATGGGAAGAATCCCTGTTGGGATTGGGAGTCGACAACAGCCAACCTGGACGAGAAGGGGAGGAAATCGCTCCTCTCGCCAAGGAAAACGTTGCCACTCCTTGAATCAGATACAAGTTTTCCCAGTTTCTCTTAGTTTATGTTGATTGCTAATGAAGAAGGAAGCACAGCAGCTGTTGATATCCAGCTTCCAGCAGGAGCAGGCAGGTGGGGCCACTTTACAAGTGATGGCTGCTGCTCCTCCTCGGACATGACACGATTGAGAGGTAGAGAACCCTGTGATTGTGTAAGTCCGTCCAGGAGAACTTCATCTACAGCTTCTGTTTTTTTGCTTTTGATCTCTTAGTTTTGTCCTTCAGCCACCCTCTCCTGCAAAGGCAAATATTACACTGCTGAGTTGTTTGTTTTTAAAATCTCGTGCAAAGGAATTCTATCACAATGCTAATCACTATAATATGACCAAATTGACAATTTTGTGGCACGTAAAACTACGAGCATTACTCTTTCGAGTGAAAATCGAAAGCCCAAAAACTAAAATCACAGTAGCCAGAACCATTTAAGGAGAAGTTTCTACGAATGCTCTGTTTTCCTCTCCATCCTAAGATTTCACAATCAATGACTCTAAACTATTTGGAACAGTTTAAGTTCACTACTAGTACAAATTTTTCGCTTTTGCTGTTACATATTGTTGTTAGCTTCACAATTTTAAAACACATCTACTAGAGAGAGGTTTCCACATATTTATAAGAAATGTTTCGTTTTCTTCTTCGACCAATTTCGAAGGGTTAGAAATGGGAGAGCATCACCAACTCTATTCCATTTGACTCTCTATGCAACTATAGTGACTTCCAAAAGGAATAATGCTTTATTGGGCCAATCTACAATGAAAAAGAGAGAATATGTGCAAAATTTCACGTGGGATGAGAATCATTAAAACATAGGGTTATTAAATTCTAAGGAATTTTTTACTTTCCTTCAAATTCAAACTCTATTTATGTCACTAATTTTAGCATACATTAAAGTTACCTACACAGTTCTTGGTATGTGAAGATACATTGTTAGGTGTTCCGTTTTATTTTTCCATTAAGGCCGAACTTAAACCTGTGCTCGAGAGATAGCTGTCCATATACTGATAAGGGATATATGGATTATCGAGAAGGGAGGAGCCAAGGTGGTCCCCTCCAGACTACCTGGATCCGAGAGTGAATAGAAAGTGAATAAAATCACAAACCTACAATATACCTAAAATTTAATTTTATAACTATTAAATTAATTAATATAGGTTTTTTAAATTTAAAACGGCTAATTTAACCTAATATTAATAATAAAAATAATAATTTTGTTTATAGTGGGACTAAAAACAAAACCTTTTGCCGTGGATGGATCGATATAATTAGTCTCTTTTTTTTGTAATTTTTTTAAAATAAAAATAAAAATAATTATTACAAAACTTTTAACAAATGAAAGTAGCACGTGAGATGTTTGTTTCAATCACATTAGAAAAAAAAATTATAATATTTTTTTTTATAAATATTTTTTTGATGGACAATTCTATTTCTATTAAAAATAGGTAAAACATCGTAATAAATTTAATAAATTTTAAAAATTTAAATTTCAATATTAAAATATAATATTTACATACATATATATATTTTATTCATATTTATAGTGAGCATGATGATGCAAGATTTGTGTGGGTGTGGGAACGAGAATATAATCCCATTCTCGGGTACCCTTTAGCTAAAGGAAAAAATCTCGATTTTCCATTTAAACAGGGTTGTATAGGTGTAGGAACGGGAATAACCAGACAAACTGTAGTTGGAAAACTGAGTATTTTTTTTTAGCGTATTTTAATTAATGAAAATAATAAAATGGAAAATAAAAAATGATTATAAAATATATATATATATATAAAAAAAAAAAGTTTTATTAAAAAATGTATAGAGCGAATAGATACTCACACTTTTTTTCTCTTTTTATTTTTCCTTTTTTCCGCTTTTTTACTTTACGCCGTCCATCTCAACGTTCTACAAAATGACCACTCCCGCACGGCTCTTCCCCTTGCTTCCGCCCCTCACTCAGCTACTCCGTTCACACTCAAACCAGACGCCGGCCGGCAATCGCCTCTCCGACGGCTCCAGATCGCTCCACAGTCTCACTCTTAAGTGAGGTGATTCGCATTTTCGGAGTTCGAATTTCACCTAGGCTATTGAAGCTTCAAGCTCCATGGAGCTGAGAAGGTTCGGATTCGAACAATGCAGTTCGTGCATTCTGTTTCTGGTTTCAGGTAATATGGAATTGTGCTTTTTTCTTGGTTTAATTTGTGGATTATTGTGGAATTCTGGAGTGTTGTGAAGGTTTGTGAAATTCTAGCTTGAGATTGTGATTTTGTGAAGGTTTGTTGTTGCTGCCTGTTATGGTGAGTTGTGTTGGAGTGAACTACGGTCAGATAGCGAACAATCTTCCTACTCCGGAGAATGTGATCCCGCTGGTGAAATCAATTGGAGCTACGAAGGTGAAGCTGTACGATGCGAGTCCGAAGGTTCTTCGCGCATTTGCTAATACTAGCGTGGAGTTTATAGTCGGACTTGGAAACGAGTATTTGGCCAAAATGAAGAATACGGCGTGTGCTCAAGAGTGGGTGAAGAATAATGTTCAAGCGTACTTGCCTGGCACTAAAATCACTTCAATCTTCGTCGGAAATGAGGTATTAACCTTCAATGACACTTCTCTTAATGATAATTTACTACCGGCGATGCAGAGCGTGCACACGGCGCTCGTAAATCTAGGGCTAGATAAGCAGGTGGCTGTGACGACAGCGCATTCTTTGGCAATACTTGAAACTTCATATCCGCCTTCCGCCGGAATCTTCCGGAGTGATTTAGTTGATTGTTTGGTACCAATCTTGGATTTCCAAGTCAAGATCGGCTCCCCGTTCTTGATCAATGCGTACCCTTACTTCGCGTACAAGGCGAATCCGAAGCAGGTTTCGCTTGATTTCGTCCTCTTCCAACCGAACCAAGGGGTTTTAGATCCCGGTTCGAATCTTCGCTACGACAACATGTTGTTCGCACAGATCGACGCGGTTTACTCTGCTCTCGACGCTGTTGGTTACAAGAAACTTCCTGTTCACATCTCGGAGACCGGATGGCCGTCGAAGGGAGATGACGACGAGGCCGGTGCGACCCCGGAGAATGCAAAGAAGTACAATGGGAACCTTCTCAAGTACATCTGCCAGAAGAAGGGTACGCCATTGAGGCCGAGCTCGGACCTCAACATTTACGTTTTTGCTTTATTCAATGAGAATATGAAGCCTGGACCAACTTCGGAGAGGAATTATGGGCTCTTTAAGCCTGATGGTACGCCGGTGTATCAGCTCGGATTTTCCCATACCGACGACGTTGGAAACGGGACTCATGGCAATTCCGGCGCGCAGCCTTCGCCGTCGGGATCTCCCACTACCTCCTCAACTGGTTATTTGGCCATTTCCTCCGCCACGGTAAAAATTTTCCGTTACCTTCGTTGTTTTAATGATTATTGCATCTCTTTTCCTTGATTTGCGTGTTTGGTTCATAAAGTGACAGAGATGGAAACAAATATTGGGTTAAGAAAATGGGCTATTGCAGTTTCTATCCCTTAAGCCATACATCTGGGGGTGCACAATTGTCAGCCATGCTTCATCCAATCTATAAAGGGGAGATTGAAATTTTCTGGTCATTGGAAACCGATAAAAATGGGAGAATGAATTGGAAAGAGTTGAGTTGGGGGGCATCTCTGTGATTGATCCATAGTGGGAGCACAGGCCCAATCTTCATTCATTGGATTCTCATCAGTTGATTTTGAGGCCATTCTAACATTTTAATTTGAGCCATATGCATATTCCTATTCCTTGTGTAGTCCACAACAAAATTCCTGTTTTATTTTCATTTTTTACCTTGAAAGCACGAGAGAAATGGGTATAATTTGGCACTTATTAAAATTCTTAAAAGTCGAATGGTACTTTCTTTAAAAAAAACATTCCAATTTGATTTGGGAGCTCAAGCTTTCAAGCTCAGTAGGCTGTTAAATGAGCTTTAGTTCAAACTTTTATATTAGGATCCTTGTAGGCGATGCCATTTTGGAGATGCCCACCTATCTTAAGGGCTCAAATTTCCCCCTTTTCCTGATGCATGTTGAAATTTTACTTGCAAGTGATTTGATACATTTGAGTAAATTCCTGTGACATAAACGCATTGATGGATCTGTTTGAATTACTGTTTATGGAGACTGAAAAACAGCGGTGATTTTTGGTGGCAGGAGAGAAGCCATTGGCTTGGATCCTTCTCAGCGAGCCTGTTTCTGATGCTGTTCAAGTTGCTACTTTGAATTTTAGGAGATGATTTATTTTTCAGTATATTTTTCCGAAAGATGCTTTGGATTTTATTTCATTTATCAGAATCATCAGCCTTTAAAAGCAAATTGGAAGATGCCAAAGAGAATAAGAGGCAGCGTCGGACTTGGGAAAAGGTAAAAATTCTGTTCCTTTCCTTGTACGCGACTTCCTTCTCTTTTATTTCTCTGCCTTCCTTTTTCCCATTCTTTTGTATGTGACCATAACGAAAGTTATTCGGCTTCTCTTTTACTCCGAACAAAAGTTGGAAATTATGAATGCAAAAAATTCTTTTTAGTATCTAAAACAGATAAAATCTTCAGCCCTGTTCAATTTTTATAGAACAATGCTCTCCCTGTAGGCCATTTAGTCATAATTTTTGGCAAGAAATCATGAAAAATCAGGAAGAAAAAAGAAAGAGAACCCTATTCACCATACATTTTTCTTTTCAGGTTTGTGTGATGATTTATATATTCTTTGATTGTTTATGTAAGATAATGAGTTGCCTAAAAATGAAGATTTGATAATGAAAAACTTTTTGTAGGGATTATTAGGATCTTATTTTACAATGTAAAAGCAACAATATAATTGAAAGTTTCTTGAATTTACCAATAGTCACTTAATGGAGTGGGGGTTGAAGAACTGACAGGGCCATGTGACAAAAGAAAAAGCTCAGCTTGGAATTTTTATCATTTCCTTTTTTGTTATGCATTCCATTTCATATTCTGAGTTGGATCTGATCTGTTAATCTCTTCTTTTTTTTTTTCATCCTGCTTTTTACAGGGAGATTTCAGTGCTTTAGTAATTAATAGTTTTGTATGTGAATTGAGTTCGTGGATGGACATAATATCTGGTGGATGGATGATCCAAACTTGTTCTTTGTAATCCCATTTGCTAATGAAATTTTATTAATTTGCAATTTTAGTTTTTGAATTTTTCTAAATTTTACAATCTTGTTCCAAATTTATTGTATCTCTGAATCTTGCTCCATTGTTGCAGATGGAAAATAAACTATAGTCTTTTTTTTTCATCTCACTCAATTTTTTCTGGTTGAGCTCGATGATGCATCATTATCATCGTCAGGAGTATAAAATGGTCGTGAGGCAATAGTCGACAAAGATACGGGGCCAAAAAGACAGTGAATATACATGTAGGTCAATTGTCGTATAGAGACACATCACATAAGAGTTACAAACTTACAAACTATCGTATATATCAAACTTATTAACTACAGCAAAACACTAATCTAATGAACCAAACCGATCGACCATATACATGTAGGTCAATTGTCTCTCAGTTCGGTCGAAGCAAAACAATCCAACCCGATAACACCATCCTGTCAAAGAAAAACCTAAGGATACTTCCTACTCAAAAGTGAAGGCTCCACTAATCATATTGCTCATAAAGTTCATAAACAAGAAATTGAGAACAGAGAGATTTAAAAGTTGAGAAAGGACTTAAACTGTCATTCAAAAATGATAACAAGGGTATTAGCACAAATCAGAGGGTTAGTACAGATATTTAGCATTACACTAAAAGTATCCTTGATGACATGACAGAGGCGGCTCCTATAGCAACACTAGGCCATGTGGTGCATGAAAAGTTGGGAATTTCAGGCTTTTCCAAATTAAATTAATCAGTAACAATAGGAGCATGTAGAAGTAACAACAGAAAGTGGCCAGCAGCCACCATGGGAACAGCTAACAAACAAATGAATGGCAACTGCCACTTCGCCTCTAGAGGCAAGCTTTGCTACAATCTACACTACCCACCTAATCACACAACAAAATTTCTCTCAAAAAGTTAATGAATAGACGAGTATTTTTAATAAAATTAATCCAGTTTTGATGATCAAATTGTATACGCTGCTGAAAACCAGACTATTTTTTATGTACCTCCAACTGTAGAATTCCACGTTTCTTCTGCAAAATCAGATCTATTCTATTTCTTTCCCCTTAGTTTGGCCTGATTAATGCTTAAACCATGAAAAACTAAGCTTCCTTTTAGCCGCCGGAATGAAGCTGAAACAGCACAATCCAGAGTCGTTGCCTCTTCTAGTAGAGGACTTGTGGAGCTTCGTTCCAAGTCAATTTTCAACTCTTTGATAGAACAACAAATAAGCAGCCGATGTCTTTATCTCTTCTTCGCCAACTGGGGAAACATGACTGTCATCGAAGTGGTACCATCTCTTCTCATCGATTAACTGCACATATGAATAACAAAGATCTGAGACCATTATACAAAAATATCGAAAATCAATTCTTGATGGTTTGGTTAGACAATTTAAAATGGGACTAGATTTACTGTTCCAGTAACCGAGACCAGACAAGTGGGGTAGCTTAGATGATGGATTCATCAACAAAAAAGAAAAGAAAAGAAAAGAAAAAGGAGAACTCGGGCCATGAATCTTGTCTTGCAGAGTCCAAGTAGTCAATCCATGTTCGGGGATACATAGAAAGAATTTAAATTCCATACCTTTGCGTATGCAGTGTAGTGACCACCGCCAAGACCACCATAATGGTTGCTAATGGCATATAGGTTGTACAAGTAAGACTTTCCATCATTGCTTTTGACATATTTACTCAAATCAAGATTGTGAATAGGGAAATCCACAAAGGTATCGAGCTTGTTTTTGAGATATCTGCTGTATGAAAAACGTTTCAAGTGAAAAACAATAATCTCTGGCAACTTCCACAAGTCTAGCTTCTTTGTAGCCTGTCTATGCTCCTTGCACCTAGGGCAGTACCTGCGCAAGAGGAAATTTAAGATGTGAGTAAGACAAACTAGAATATTAGTAGAGCCACAATATATCTTGGATATACAAAATAAGATAAACTAAGGGGCATCAACTTACCACATATCATCAGGACCTAAAGGCTCTTCAGTAAGGAAGGCTTCCAAGCAAGAAAATAAAGATATTGCTTCCTGCCGCGTTTTCTTCATGAACCTTGTCTGGTGAACGGGAGGAAGATCCTTGATGTAGCTCACATCATATAATTCATGTTCTCTGTCGGTCCAATCCAAGAAAACCTTTATTAGTGGACCATACTTTATAGCAGAATCCTTGTCAATTGGCTTGCAGCTCAAACCCCTATCATCTGTTAAAAGAAGTTGAAAGGATGGCTCGTTCTCAGATGATGTTTCCTCTTCTTCAATGTCAATTGACTGGGAAACAGACCGAGGACTGCAGTTGGCTGGTTCATCATTCATTTCAGAAACGAAGCCATTTTCTTTGCTACTATGAGCTTTAGTTGAAGAGTACGTTCTTTTCAAGGGAACGAGGATCTTAGACACAGCTGCATTAATGTCGGCTCCACTACGGAACTCTTCTCCCAAATATGTGACTAGAGGAGTTCCAAAAAGCTTTCTCTCCATTCCCTTCAGGCGGTCAGTTGAGCATCTACAGACCAAGTGCCACATTAACAACATTCAGGAAAAATGAAAACAAATAATATGGAATGACAAAACAACTAACTGATAAGTACCGATGTATTTTCTACCATATGAGAACTTGAATTGGACACAAAAAATTAATACTGAGCACATTCACTTTCTTGTTTGAAACACCAAAAATAATAAAAGGAGCACCAAATGATAACTTCAAAGTTGGCTGTACCACACACTAGAAGAATGAGGAAACATTGAGCCACTTATTAACGTGATTTCATTTCAGAGGAATGAACTTATATCCTGCAATTGGAGCAGTCTCCACTTGAAGCAATCAATATAAGATCATTTGCAATTAGATGAATTCTTAGGTCTACCTCATCTGGGGGTTGGTTATTAATATGCAATCTTTCGTGGTGGTGGGTTTACTCTTCCCTCTGCCCAAGGAATTATGTTCTTCTCCATCGAATCATTGATGAGTAATTGTTTCTCATCACTTGAAAAATAAAAAAATAAATGTTTAACCAAAACCAGAGGGAAAAAAACTCAAGGCAGACACTGAGCTGCAAAAAGGAGTAAGCAAACATCATGAACTTGAATAGAGTCTAGAGCGTCCGATTGTCAGGTAGTCCAGCTAAAGTGGGCTTAAAGATGACGTGGCTTATTTAATAATCCCAGATTCAATATGCCTAAAATTCATACTTCATAACCAAACACGCAGACAAACTACAGGTTAGAAACTTAAAAAGAAAGCATACCTTTCCAGCGATCTGTGAATGATCTCGAGCTTTGGTCTTCCAGACTCCCTTTTTGGAAGGCGATATGCAACTAGATACTCTTCATCTTTAATTGAAGTCACAGATTCAAGAGGGTTATCAAAATATTTGTAAATACGGTGATCATAAACCTGACAATGAAAAATTCAGAAATAAGAATTTTTACTACAATAGAAGAAATAAGAACGCAGAAACCAGATGAATTTCATATGCTTACCTCTGCAAGCAGAAGATTTTCATCATTCTTCAAGCAGCATGCAATAGTCAATGCAAGGGTGAGATCTTTGATACAACCATGTCTTTGCACTGTCACAGTGTATGGCATTGGAAGACCACTACCGTCACCATAGAACACAGTCACTGTCACACTGCGAGTGACAGTTGAAGGCAGCGGCAATGATAAATACATAAATGGATCAAAAGTAATTGAGATTTTTCCACATACTGGACAAACCAATGTCGACTTATATTGACCCTGTGAGTTTAACCAGTTGTAAATTATTAGAATATAAATTAATCATTTAAATCTTAACTAAATAGACCAAACCAGAAACAAACATAAGACATCCCACCAATCTCTACTAAATTAATAATACAGCATGTAAATGACTTTAATCAAAATAATAAAGGATAATGTTACTTACGAGAATGAACATGAAAACTTCTTCACACAATTAACATTTATACAACATGGAACTACCTACAGTAATTAACATAGAAACAGTGCCAGGCAGGATGATATGCAATGAGATTCAAATATATCAAAAGCCACTTACTTGACAAACATCTACAATCAAAGAATCATTTCGTGCTCTATGGTATCTCCAACACTCATCTGCAACTTCTGCATCTGGACGACCATCATAATCCTTTGTTTCAAAATAAGGCTTCCGTTTAACACGATTCAAATCTTCATGCAGTCCATCCAGTAAGAAGGCAAGAAGTTCCTGTAGACAGACATCTTATCTAGGTTAAATGATATAAATGAAACCAGATTGACCAAATTCAACATTTTGAAAGATAAATTATTAAAAAAGTAACCATTGTCCCTTTCATATCTTTTTCATCTCATTTTTCCTAATCACAGCATCAGCAGAACACTAAAGTTGATTAATTACGCTTAGAATTTGTGTTAAGAGTTTTGCAAACAAAATGACAACTTCAAAAAATAAAGAAAGAAAATGGACATTCTGAAAGTATGGAGACTAAAATAGACAAAAACTGAATGTATAGGAATAAAAATAGGATTTAAAACCTACTTTGTAATATTAGGACTGATTTAAATATATTTAACTTAAATGCCAGATCATCATTTAAATGTTCACTCAAAAAGCACAATACAACTATATATTCAAACTAGTCATTCTAAAGCATAAGCCATATAGAAGGACAAAATTGTGGGGTTTTGTAGTAAAGCAGAAAGTGAGTTCAAGCCTGAGAAGGGTGACAGAATATATTTTTTCAAAACACTATATACTTGAAAATCATTTCTTTTAAGCATATAAATATTTCAAATTGTAAGATCTCTTTTACGAAGTTTCTAAAAGGACGATCAAAAGAAAAAGGAATAAAAGATGTATTTAGATGACAGAAGAAAAACAAGACAGAGAAGAAAAGATAAGAAAACAGCATTCATAAATGTCCCGAGTGAGATCGCATCATCAAATACTAAGCTTGATAGTTAAAATCTCGTCAGAAGATGGTAGCTTATTGTCCAAGTACCAGAAATGACATAATTAATTCTAAAAGCTTATCA